GCTTCTCTTCCCTTTGGCTGTCTCTGTGCCAACATCACTGAATGTCATGGGCAGAGCTCCATGGGTTTCACTCCAATCATGTTTTCTCTCTGTGTGCCATTATGTAACAGAACAATTCTGTGGACATCCTTTCTCATAGATATATTAGCAGTGATAAAGGACAAACGTGATGAAGGCAGAAATACACCTGCCGAAAGGCAACTTTTCATGCACCGACTTCAGAAATTGAACAGATGTTGCAGATTAAACGGCAAACGTCCAGATGTTGAAGAGGTTTTAGAGAGAGTGGCTTACGGGCAAATTTGCTGTTTTTCTATAGTCTTTTTGACATCTCCAATCCATTTAAAAAAACATGTCATGTTCACCTATTATGCACATTTTTATATCATGATATGGTTAAAAGGGACACCATTATACTTTCTGATTATATTGTGCTTTGTGAGGACTAAATGGTGGCACCCACATGTTTCAAGAGTTAAAACATAGTGTTGTGGGTTTGTTGTGGTTTAGGGTGGGCCTTAGATGAATCACCATAACGACTGAAAGTCACATTTTGTGTTTGTGTGCTTAGAAAACACAATAAATCAATTCTACCCTCATCATCAGATTAAAGGCCTGTAATCCCTGCAGTCATGCAGGAGTTGGCTTTTACTATCATATCCGTATTGCTATTATCTGACCAACAGACACATGCACACAAATACACAAAGTACACACAATCCCCTAATCTGTTTGTTATCTGAACATCCACCGTGTATCATCCGAGAGTTTATAATCTGCTTCCATTCTGTATTTGCTCATTTTATTCCAAGATGTCAATTTTTTTTAATTAAATCAATATTAACTTTGAAAAAGCTTTAATCTAATTATGGATTTTGTATTTACTGTCTTATGTGTGATGATAGCTATTAACAGCTATTAAATACCTTGCTTGATTTATTAAAGGAGTGGAATTCAGGCATTCATTCATTATGTTTACTTAAAATGTTCACGGTTATATTTTCAAGCATTCACACAGCATAACTTATATTGTGAAACTGAGATAAGTCTGAGTCTCCAGTTTGCGTTTCTAGTAAGTCCCCTGAGTAATATAGCCCTTTACCCAATAGGACATAAACTCCCAGCTTTGGATTTCCATTCTGCTGTCGCCCCAAGCTCAAAGTTCATTTGATTTAGTAGAGACGTAGGGGATCAGTGGATGAAAGCAAGAAAACAAACTACAAGCCTGCAGGGATTACAGGGTGCTGTGTCTTAGCAGGCATTGTAGCAGGCGCAGTCTTTCTTCTAAGGCAGCAGCTTGATTCAGGTCGGTGGTGTTGCTGCAAGGATCAGCAGAGGGAAAATCCTCTGAGGCAGCCCAACAAAGTGCCAATTAGGTCCGCGTTTAAGCAGGGCTGCTGCAACAGCAAAGTTAATGCCACTGATGGGTCACGCAGGTACATCAGAAAGCACCAGGTCCACCTCAGTCGCTTCATTTTCACTTCTTAAATGTACCAACTCGTCGCATACTTAAATAAACTGGCACAGATCACAAAACTCAATGGTTATAAACACGGAATAAAACTTTAAAACTGCATTTAAGGTAGAATTTTTGTTAAATGGGTTTATCATAATAAAGTCATCATCTCCCCGCTCGGAGCAGCACTGTTTACAGCGTGCCGTGGCCTCCTACGTCATCACGCACCGCGCTTCTGTCCAATGAGCGAGCAGAGGAGCGCTAAGCGGACTCGCGCCGGGTAAAAGGATTTGACAGATAAAAGTCTTGAGCCGTTTCCCGACTTGACTTCCTCGGTGGGACGGAGACCATGGCGGCTGCCGCCTGCGGACAGCAGAGCGCCGCGATAACGGCCACCGTCAGCGGCAAAAAGCCGCACGCTAGCAGGGAACACGGTCGAAGGAACCGGGAGAACTCTCGCCGGAGACAAGCGGCTCTTTTGTTCCTCAGCAACATCTCGCTGGACGGCCGGCCGGTCCACTGCAGCTCGGCCGGCGGCGGAGGCAGGCGCCACCACCGGGACGCCGACTACGAGGACGCCGTCCCCTGCTCCGACTACTTCCCGGACCCGGGACCCGTCGGCGGCTGCGGGACGTTCTCCGGCTTGTCGGCGTCGGTCAGCTGCGGGAACGTGGTCCCCGGTCCGGCGTCGAGGACGGGACTCGCCGTTCCGCCTATCCTCGTCCTACCGTCCGAACCGGGACTCGGCGACGAGGGCAGCGCGGAGGAGCTGCTGGGCTGTCGCCGGGGCTCCTTCCCCTCTCCGGGGAACAGCAACCTGCTCCGCCCTTCGCCGTCCAGTGCCAGCCTGCTGCCGTCCCCGCTGGGGCCGCGGAAGTCGTCCACGCTGCTGTCGGTCCAGAGCTGTAACTCCGTATCGTCGGAGCCCAGACACAGG